GATGTAGCCACTCATAATGGTGGCTGATATGAAGCATCCCCTGTTGCAGGCCAGTAACCAGGAAGTCCGTGACAGTTTCTAAGTCACATGATTTCTGCCTATCTTCACTCTGCTCATAATGTCCTTTACACACCGAGCTGCTGCTGCTTCACTCGTTCAGACAGCTTCTGATGCTCTGCAGCCTTATAAACCTTAAAGCAATATGACAAAGAGCCTCCAGAGACAAAAAAACCCTCCCAGGCTATAAGTATATAAGACTACAAATATGTAAGTATTTCAGCTTTTTGGTCTAAGTTTAAGCATTTAAAATGTGCCTGGATCAGTACTTTATAATAATAATAATAATAATCAGTTTCACCTGAAAAACCACAAGACTACATATTCCAGGAGCTGGAAAGTGCCCTAACACAAGCCGACACTTGCACCAACTACATAGAAGTTTCTAACATTTTTATACCGCTCCTCATTTTGAACGTTTTCCCAAATATGGGCATTTGTCACATTTTGATTAATCACTACAGCAGTAGTAAATAAGGGGGGAAAACACACAATTCAACTGTAATTTTTTAACAAATTAATTAAAAACACAGAGAGCATGTTTCTTCAGTTTTTTGTGCAAATGAAAAACATTTTTAGACACAAAAGGTTCTCTCCACGCATGTATTTCCGCTCCAAACAACCATGCCTTCATTTAATCTCCTACACAATTACTGGTATTTTATTTCTTGAATAAAACTTTTCTGACTATAATTTGTAGGCAGGTACAATCTATGACGAGGGATCACAAAATAGACTGAGCAAAGTTTTATAGCATCTAAGAGAAGAAAAAAAAAACAGGCTGGGAGATGCTGAAAGAAAACAAGATCAATTTATTGATTTTTTTTTTTCTTGCATTCAACTTGACATGTTTGCTAAGTGATTATCGGCATAATAGTGACCATTAAACAGCATTTAAATTATACAATGTATTTGTGGAAGCCAACTAAGGTTAAAAATAGCATCAGCTATAAAGTCTCTTTTCAGCTCAGCATCAGTTTTATGCTCTGTACTGGAACTGTGTTAAACCGCTCGGTGCCTACTTAATAAATAAACAATGTAAATACATAAATGAGAACCAAATCTGATCAACAAAGACTTGTTCGAGCTCTTTTTTACTGCCAGAAGGCGACGAGAATTTCTTTAAATGGGCAGGAGATACAGTGAAATAGCGCTAAAGAACAGGACACCGCTGCTCTTCGATTGCAGTGCTCAGGTTACCCTTTGTTTACCATTCTTGTCAGCACAGCTGAAAAAAGGGATGCTGTGTCTGATACACAGTGGTACATGGTATTTTCAGTGCATAGTAACACGGTGATTATATTTGGAAAAACTACCCTGCTCTGCCTTTGCTCATTGGACACATTTTCTGTGCATCTACATAATGCTAAGTGTAGGTCTGAGGCGGTAACAGCTGCACATGACGTGACCGGCTGCAGCACATCTTTGTCACCAGAAACAGTACAGAGTGAAAGGCAGTAATCTAATTTTCTGCTTCCATCAAACTCGCACAATTCCACCCTCTGTGGCAGAGCCTTATGGGAAGTCCGCTGGGTAAACCCCTTTGGTAAGTCTATGGAGAGGGGAAAAAACCAATAATCCCTTTTAAGGGGATATGAAGAGGCTTTACGGTAAACCTCCACTAGCCATGAGTCAGGCCTGAAACATTTCACCCTTGTTCTCACCCTGGAAGGCCAAAGCCTCACACAAGCAGACACAAATGCATTTATTTTAAACATTAACATCTTTAATCTTAGCGGTGCACCTGCATGATTAATTATCCCTGATTGACATCTTTGGATACACAAAGCATCAACCGTAATAACAAAAAGGCACCATCACCATCTAAGTAATCAGTCTTAAATGAATTATAATTTCTTATTTATAATTAATTATAAATTAACCTCAGCCATATCATCACAAACACCACAGCTGTGCCACTGTGATGGATGCGAGTATGGCTGTGCTACTGTTTAAACGCAACAAAACTGAATGAAAAAGCATCTGCAATCGTAGCAGGGAAGCAATTTTTTGTTCTTACATTTGTTTTGGTCAGTCATCAGGCAGTTTGTGAAATTTTCTTTCCTTCAAGATAATCAATTGATCTATGAAGCGGTATTACTGCAAAGTGGAAAACATTTAGGCATGACAAGCAAACCATGTAAAGTTTACAGACTGGAGTCGTTTGAGGCGGATAGTATGTAAAAGTTGCCGATGCTCTGATGAGTCCATAGCTCTGTGCCTCATTTGGCATTAACATCAGCACCAAAACTGTGTGCTGGGAGCTTCATGGCCGGGGTTTCCATGGCCAGGCAGCTCCTGTTGATGTAATGTGTATGTGACCCAGTGCTTTTTTCTTTAGTGTTACTCTAATAATGTGTTATCTGAAGTCAGGTCTTTAAGTGTTTCACACAGTGTCGTGTATGGACACCAACACATGATGTAATCAGCAAGTGATTTAATTGTACACTTTAAACTTTAACTCAAGGGGTTTAAGAAACAGGTTTAAAAACTTTTTTTTTTATAAGGTGTGTTCATTTTTACACAGTTTACATGCAGCTTTGAGCCATGTGTGGTCTGTTTCCACATTATTGGCATATAAAGTCTGGAGTTGATTCCAGTTGTTTAAGTTCGGCAGCTGTTAAGAATGAGAATTCATAACATAGAGGCACAAAGAGGCATCAGACCAAGTAAAGAAGACTAAAGAAGGCTACCATAAGGCAGAAAAAAGACCAAACTGACCTATCAGAGAGACAGGAAGCTTCCGAAGTGGCCAAATCAACAATGCAGTAAAGAGGGTGATTACAGAATCTTTTACTTGAAAAACCACTTCACAGCATCTAACCAAATCAACAGCAGTTCTGAGGCTTTTGGTGTATTTATTGTGAAAGTCTACAATTAAAGAGATGCAAACAACATGCCAAAATAGTCGCTAGAAAACATCTAGTTCTAAAAGAAATTCTTTGGATCAATGAACTTGGCCCAAAGTTGTACACAGTGATGGGAAAACAAAACTCGAATGGGCTCGTGATCCAAAACAGACCCCCTGAAAACACAGAGGAGGTGGTGTGACAGTATGGGCCTGTTTAACTGCCAACTGAACTGGGTCACTGATGTCTATTGACCAGAAGCAGGACATCATCTTAAATGCATGGAGTTATACTTCCTGCTCAAGCCCAATGCTTCTTAACGGCAATAAAGAGAATACTCTTAAACATCAGAGTCAGTCACCTGACCACGTCTTTCACCAAGTAAAGACAAAACTGAAGGTGGTATAGGTCTGGCAAAGCCTATAAAAGAAGGAAATTCAGAGTGTGATGAAGCTTCTGTACTAAAGATGGAAGTGTACATTTCACATCTTTATTGTTCTGCTTTAAACCCACTGTGGTAATGAACAGAGACAAAGAGAAAAGAAAAAGAAAAAGGAGCATTTTAAGCTAAAGTAAGTGTAAAACACAAAAAGTGTTTTATATATTGAGATTTTTGCATAACTATCATAATGTAGCCTATTTAACTTTTTTTTCATCTAACTTCCGGTTTCTTCCCTGAATGATTGCTGGTTTACAGTATTTCACAGAGTAAAGTAAAACCAAACTGACACAGTGATTAAAGATATCCAGGTTTAAGATTTAGGGCTGTGCATTTTGTTGCTGTTGTTGTTTTTTAGCGATACAGATGAGGAGTCTCGTACCTACCTCGACATTGTCGCCTCAGTATTTCCATCTCTGTCATCTGCAAAAGAGGAAACTGTTTAAGACAGAGTATCACTGCACAGCTGCATCTCCATCTCCGTGAGTTTAATAAAGGCCTAAAGCACACTGTCTGAATCAACTCTTTAGACCCAGCTTACCGTCCATAGCAACATATGCGAAGTAATTTCCCTGTTTATTCAGCAAAGACTTTAATTATTAACAGTATGGACACCTGAGCATGTTGTCCTGCAGACCGGAAGCGGTTAACTGGCTGACCAGTATCACCTGATGTAACCTTGAATAGTCTATTCATGCTGTGGAGAGCAGCGTTTTACTTACCTGCGTGGGGGGAAAAGAAGGAGATGTCGAGTGATGCCCCCCGGAGGACGGCCTGTAACAGCAGCATCTCCCAGCCTGACACTGGTGACACGGTCTCAGTCTCAGCTGTGTCCTTCATAAAAACTCCCAGCCTGTGCAGATTTTTTTTTTTTTTTCTTACTTCTTTTTGGCCTAATTGGTAGCAAACAAAGCCTTTGAGTGACCATTGGTCTTTACCCAGAGGGCCTCACACCAATTATCCTGCTCAGTCACATGGCAGTGAAACCTCTTTTTCAGAGCACTGGGCCAGAGACTAGATGGAGCAGTGCAAGGAGAAACCAGCACAGACGGCTACTTGTTTGCAATTGTATTGTAATTTTTCTTTTTTATAATGATAATGGTTGAGTACTGGATTTTATAATATATTCAACTTTTTTTTTTTGCAGCACCTCTATTCTCGTCTTTGTTGAAAACTTGACCAGATCTGTCTGTCTCTACCTCCTCGGATTTGAGCACCAATGGCCCAGAGACCTGAAGTTTTCATTATGAGTTGAACAATGACCAGTCACCACTTCTTCACTCAGCACAGTAAATAATATAATTTCTTTTCAATATAATCTTCCTGTGGGAATGTTAGCTAAACATTGTTGCAGACCAGTCTACCCCCAGAGAAGGATGGCAGCATCCTCTCACAGCAGGAATAATACAGTAAAGTCTGAAAGATTAGAATTTGCTGTTCAGGCTCAGAGGTGTACGTGTCATAACATTTGCATTACCTCTACAAGTCACAATAGTGAAAAGAGACTGAAATAAGCCAAGATTAGATAAATGAAAGAAAAAATATTAATCTCCTGTTCCACTACATCCCAAAGGAAATATATTGGATTGAGATCCAGTACAGAGAAATTACTGTCATGTTCAAGATGATCATAAAAAATGAAAAAAGACACACAATCACTGTGTTTATATTTTATTCACATATGTTACATTTTGCTTTAAATGTCCCAAGTCACACTTTCTGGTCAAACTCAGAAAGTTTGAGTCAGCACCTACAGTAATGTACTGTATTCTCTCCCCATTCATACAGGAAAACACACAAAAGCTTTCAGTTACAATTTACACCCATCGTTGGCTATTTGGTTGCGGTCATTAACGAAGTGGGTACAACAAAAATAAGAGAGACAGGATAAAACACAAAAGCAGCATGCATGAATTCAAGAGGAAGTTTTTCAAGTGTTGACTTGTTCCTTAGAGATTCTGCGATGCAGCACAATGTGACCCAGCATTTCAAAACCAAACATCAGGGATATCAGCTGTGTGCTCATCACTGAAAGTAAGCATTAAAAAAAAGGGGGTCCTATTACGCCTTTTCTCTTTTTCTGTCATTTACAAATAAACTGGGTCATAGATGTGATGGATGCTGATAACAACTAATTCCTTTAAGCTGCTCAGTTCACAACAGTTTTCCCAACTCCTGTGCCGAACTGCAGTTTTGAACATGAGATGAGGAGGCGGAGCTTACAAGCACTAGGTTTCGTTTTTTGGGACACCAGGCAAAGGGCAGCCAATCAGAAGAAAGTGAGCTTTTAGGTTGACAGAGGCTTGAAGAGACATTTTAAAGAAGAAGAAAAAGAAGAAATGATAATAAATAAGGGGCTTTTTATGTTCTTGTGAACTGTGAAGAAGCAAAGTTTCTCTAATGAAGTCTCATTTAAAATCATGGAGCTGGAAATAAGCATAATAGGCCCCCTTAATCTTGCAGGCACAGCTGGATGAAACTTCTCTTCCAGGAAAAAAAAAAGAAGATGATAATCGCTAAGACACTTAAATAATGGTGGCTTAAAGGATGTCATGCACAGTGTACAACAGATACTCAAGTCTGATAGTCTTGCAATGTTGGAATGCAACTATAAACCACAACTACATGATGCCTGATGTATAACAGATAGTTGTTAATAATAATAATAATAATAATAATAATAATAATAAATGTTCTGTACTGCAGTTTATGACCTGGCAATCAGAAGCGTAAAGGGAAAGCCTTTTTCTGATGGCACAGACAGACGAGTGACAAGAACTGCAGTTTCCTCACAGAAGCAACACAACTCCCACAGAGTTTCATACCTCGAGAGAGCACTGACAGAACTCATGTAGCATTTTTGCTCTTGCATGACACTCAGGACACCAGATGTGCAGTGAGATCACTTTGCCTTCCCTCAATGTTTAGACTTATATGTTTATACGGGGGTGGTGATGATGAGGCTTAAGACAGCTGAGTGCCTTAAAGGTGGAGTTTTGAGTTAAACAGTGTGAAAAGGCCAACGCTATGAAAAGTGTAGTGGGTGTAACTTGGTGACCGCACACCTCCTTAACCATTAAACTGAGTTTGAGTCAACATTCCCAGCCATCTATGGTAAACCCAAAACACAACCTTAGGAAAAAAAAACAAAAACAAATTCTTCAAAGTTAAAATTAATTACTTGAACAATGAGCAGCAGCATTTATTTAAATATCTAAAACGTATTTCAGCAAAAACAAAAAACCCAAAAAAAATTCCTGAGGATGGATTGCAACTAGACCCATAAAAGAAAGAGTCTTTGCTTGTTAGCAAAATAAACTCTAGTGTGTTGATGGGTGGACTTGTCCTGCCTCCTATCACATGTCAGCAGACAATGAGTGCACACTGCAGTAACATTGCTATACTTACCAGGAGCTTGAAACTCATGCCAGCACAGCAGAGCACATTTTGATAAATAATAGGGATATGTGTTTACATCAGAAATGGTGGTAAAGTAATCAAACTTTGCAGGGACAATCGGCAATTTATTTTTGTTTTGTTTTTTAAACCAAATAAACTGGAGAGACTTTAAAAGCCTGATCCAAACCAATTCGGTTTGTGGGCAAATTTGTGCTTTTTTTTTTTTTTTAACCCCCCCCCCCCTCTTTTTCTTTTTTGTTTTTTTTACTTTAATCTCACCAAATTCTGTTTTTCCCTGTAGAAAAACCACACAATAAATCACTTGAACACACACACGTGTTAAATCTTTAGGCATGACTGTACACCAAACTTCACATAAACCAAGGCTGTGGCAGAAATAGCCCTCGCTGGATGTTTGTGTTTATCACAGCAAGAGTTTCCAAATATTTTGATCAAGGCAGACACATAAGCCAGAAGGAAAAAAAATCCCTAAAAAAAACAAAACTAAAAAAAAATCTTCTCCATCATGGGATGTGGTTTTTCAGTGGACTTTGGAAGATCTTAGAGTCCATTATAATGAGGCCCCCAACGCTTATTGATGTGATCAAACGTGTGTGAAACCCACTGTTGCTCCAACACTCGATACCGCTCCTCACATAAGTAGAGAGGCTTGCCACGACTGGAAACATGCCAGAGGGGTGAAAACAGGAGTGAGGGAAAAAAAAAAAAAGGGAACTACATTTAAATTCATACTAGAATCACACCAAGTGTTATAAGTGTACTTAAAGAGTTGCTCTAAAGACTCTATGCTATCTATTAACAAAAAAGTGTGACTGGGTGTTACGCGTCTTACCGTAAATCCCGATCTTCCTCTCCGTGCGCATCAAGGTAAACAGAGCCCCACAGACAGAAACGATGTCCACGGATGATGATGATGACTGAAGCATTTATCAGTAGAAAGATGCCTGTCGCAGCGCCACAATGTTGGGAGTGCTACAAAGTGACAAGTGTGGGGGGAAAAAAGGTTTGCTAAAAGCTGACGACTTCAACAAGCAGCTATGTCAATTCTGCATGCTGGGCCTCACAGAGAATGCTTTGAAGATGATAAAAATGGAACTAAAATGGGTAAACTCACCAATACACATTCACAGATACCCTGCTGCTTGCAGCACACGCCTTTGAGACAGACGAAAGCACCGCAAACAAGGCAGAGTGCGGGGTCTTTTGGCACCTTTTTGCAGGCAGAGCAGGCCTTTCTGTGATAGTACTGGAAGATGATATTGTAGTTGTCAGGCAGCTGCAGGAGACGGGGCGCTGCCCACTGAGGATCGTGGACCAGCAAGGTCTGAGGAGGAGAAGACAGACACCCAGCAATGAACTGACTTTATCTCCTTACTACACTTTGACCCAAAGGAGGAGGCCACAAGACACGTGGTCAGCTAGACACACGTGAGAGGTACAACAAAGGCGAAAACTAAACTTTAAATACAGGAATCAGATCTGGCACATTAAGTTAAATTAAAATCCAAGTATTTCTTATAGAATATGTGAGTATTTTTTGATTGTCATTTTAAGAAACCTTTACTTGCTTTGCTTGACTGCACACTGTTAAAAATGAGAAGTTCATAAACATACCAGTGACTCGTCAGCATGTATCTGAGAGAGCCCTTTGACCTCAGCGCCCCACTGCGTCACCAAGTCAAAGGTGTTGACTGGCCACTCCAGACACGAGGCACTTTGCACGGTGTTGGCAGGCTGAGGGGCGGAGGGTAAAAGCCCTAAACATACAGCCAAGGATGCAAACTCCTCTTCCTCCTGTAAGAAGCCAAACCGCTTTGCCGTCAGTTAGACTGAAAAGGCAGTTTTAACATTTAGGATGACATTTATGATGAATCATACCAAGCAGCCGGTTAGGTTGTCTCCATACAGGTGATGCTGCAAAAGGCAGGAGAGGCGCAGGAAGGGCAGGCAGAACTGCTGCAGGCTGAATTCGATAGACTGTGGGGACCACACACTGGAGCTCAGCTGGAGAGGGAAACAGCAGTAACACCTGATCAATAATCAGCCTACAGCTCGCTGATAATACAGTGATGTATATCTCCCCTAGAGAGATCAGTAGAGATATTAAACACAGTCTCCCACGGTAATGGGCAATTTATTGTTAGAGGGAAAACGAAAGAGGCAGAGAGGAGAAAGAGTGTAATCCTGAAGGCAGTCACGCTCTAAGCAGTCATTTTAGTCCCTCACCATTGTTGCTTCTTCAGAGTTCACCTTGTAGACACTCTTGTCCTTCGAGAGCTCACTGATAACATGACTGAGCAGTGCTTCAAAAGACTTATCAGAATTTGCAGCGTTCTGTGGAAGAAAATAAAAATGCAGACAAACATTAAAAAGGCCAAAACTCTCAGTTTAATCGGACACATAAACCTCTTGGAGGATCAACAGATATAAGCTTTGATCTACTGGTGAACATTAACACAAATCTTCCTGCTGTTTTGATATTATTATGTCTCTCTCCGTGTTTGCTGGTGTCTTGTCTCCACGAACTTAAACCTATAAGAAGAAGCTTAGACGTTAATATCTATTGTACCATTCAGTACAAAACATCTGAAAATGTTTGATGAATTCAAGGAAAAGCTAAAAACAGGTGTTGGATCTTTAAGAGTCTCCAAGAGCTGGCCTAAACTGTTTTCCACACAGTGAGTAAATCAGGCTGGGAAGTTGTCCTTTCTCATGTGTACCAAGGAAGAGTTGGTAGCTTGAATCAAACTCACTCTGATGACTGGAAATGCTCAATTAGATTTACACAAGAACTATAGTCACAGAGGCATATCTGGACATCACAGAGAGGCTGTCAGGTTAAAGACTGTTTAATGACTGTATTGGAAACTTGTGTGATCATTTCTAAGAAAGTGAAGAGCTCAAATACATTAAAAGAAAAAACAAAACAAACCAAAACCCCTCCATCCATCTGTTCTGCTTATCCAATTCAGGGTTATGCTGGGATTGGAGGCTATCCCAGCTATGATGGGACGAGAGGCATAGTACATCATGAACATGTGTCCAATCTAACACAAAGACAGACCATGCTCTCTGGTTTGCTCCCAGACCACCGTGCCGGACATTTAAAAAACTGTTTTAAATTAGAAATGGCTGCTATTAAACCAGCATAATTCTCAATGTAAAAAAAAAATCCCTCTATATAATTCTAGCAAATTCTCCACAGTCCTTCTGTTGTGCATACAATGTGCTGCACTATAGAATATAATGACTCACACAGAATAATTCTTTAATATAACATCTGAGTAGCAGTAGAGACATTACTGAATGTGTGTTCTGATAAAAATTCAACCGGTTTGGCTCGTATGTTATACAGAGCAAAAGCTGCGAGCATTTATCAAGCTGAAGGTGGTGGAATATAAAACAGCCACCTTATCTCGTCTGCTGTCCTTTGTCATAGATTTATAGTGGAGGAATTTCAAGTCTACTGATTTCCTTCCTTAAGGCTGTGATATTTCTTCATGCTGCATCTTTTAAAAAAAAATAAAAAATAAATTCAATTTAATTACAATAGCGTAGATGCTGTTCTCGTTGTAGATTTAAAAATGGAAGCCCGTGAATGCCCTCGCTCCACTGCTCGTGACTGTGTAGGGGGAAGATACAAATCCATACTTCCATTATGGATGACAACACCCCAAAGAGGAGGGTTTCGGCTATTCGTCTTTTGACATTCAAACCAGCCACTCACTAACACAATGGTAATAGACTGAAGACAGATTGCCAATTAATGCAGCACTCTGCAGCAACACCGCTTTTCCAGATAATGAAGATTGATACTGTCGATTGTGGAATTCACATAATTGAAACTGCAGGGCCTAAAACAGCTGAACAGCTACTCACACGCAATGATTTACAGTGCTGGAAGCTGGTGCTCGCAAACAATCAGGATTCTAGTCGTTCAACAAGTAGAAGATGTCATTTGGACCCAATGTGTTAAGCCTCGGAAAACCACAAAACAGTGACAACAGTTTCAGCAGCACTTTAAGGTTTGTTAAGTCATTAGTGCTCGTCATTATCTATGCAGTACGACCATCTATTTGTGGCCTAAAGTCTGACATAATGACTGCTGATTCACCGACTAGAGAGGAGGAGGCGAACTGCAGGAGAGGCAAAGGAGAAAGGGGGGAAAAAAACAAAGCAAACAAAGAAATTCAAGTAAAAGGCCAAAAATAAACACAATGCCATAGAATAAATATCAATACAAAATAAGAAATGGGCAGTGTACTGCATCACTAGCAGAAAGGTCACAAACTCAAGTAGTTCTGTCTCCCCTGCAGCCACCACTCTGTGCGAAGGAGAGGGGGGAAACAGAAAAGTACGACGACACTAATGCGATTTCATTTTTACCTTCTTGAGTGCTCCAGATGTGCTCCAGGCCTGCCTTTCCTCTGAGCTGAACTTTGTTGACAGTGCAGCCAGAGCCTGAGTGAACTGCAGGTTGTACAACATCTTCACCACGCAGGTAAAGTGCTCTACAAAAAAGGGGAAAAAAAGGACAAAAGGTGACACTGTGAGCATTGTGCCACTTTGAATTCATGAAGATCTTCTCTCGTCAAACACACTCGCTGGAGGAGGACGGCTGTTATTCACAGGGGCATTGTGTTGCAAAGCAATTAGCAGAGTGTTTCAGTTGGAAAATGTAGCCTGAAAGGTATTTAACTTGGTGACTGAAAAGAGCAACAAAGAGTGCAATTTGTTTTCTGCAGAAAAAGGGGTTGCTGACAGCTTCTGTCCTGGTCACTGTAACAAGTGTCACTACACACAATTATGCATAGAATTTTAAAAACTGGGCTTTTCCCATTATAGGAATCACATGCAGAGGACCTCTCGGAGACAGAAAATGTCTTGCTCTTTCCATTTCCCATAAAGTAATCCACCTGAAAATGCATGTGCATGTTAATTCACAAGCATCTCTCACCACTCTAAAATTAAAATGTATATTCTCCATCTTCCAGAACATTGTAATAATCATTATATATCTTCAGTTCTCAGTGGTGTGCCATGTGCTACTAAGTGGCACCATCTCGAGACTAATATGGTAATCCTTAAAACAAAAATATATCTAACATACATCCAATTAACTAAAATGCAGCCATTTCCACTTATAAGCTATTCCTTCTGTTAAATCTGCCTTGTTCATGTTCCAAAACTCACTAATGATTCCTGCTACATGTCAAGCTAACATGACCATTAATCATCTCTAAGGTGGCTCTTCACAGTTTAGAAGTAAGATGGGGCAGATGCAGAAATGAAGGGCACCACAAAGGAGGTGAGAGCACTCCCATAGTCAGGGTCACGTCTTCCCGATCCCCCCCACACACAGCCAAAGCAGCAACAGCAGCCGAGATAAGACATGCAAAATGCTTCTCATTTTCTCCTCAGCCTGGATTACGACTGATAATGGGGCTGCCCTTGTGGTACATCCACTGAGAAAGCCCCTGCTGCCTTGTAGTGCCATGATGCAGAGAGAGTTACTGTACCTTTACGCAGAGGCTGGGGCATCGTTAACACAAAAATAATCAGGAGCGACGGGACGTCTCGAAACAGCATGGGTACCTCAGGCCTCTCTTCATCAAAGGAACTGCCAAAAAAAAAAAAGAGAGAGCTTAAGTTTAACCTCAAGTCAAATATCTGGGAAACCCCGGAAAGCACATACTGGACAAAGCACAAGTATCCCTTCATCAAATTAAAAAGAAATGCCAAATTTATGCAAACGGATTAGCTGTAGCAGTTCTGCATGCGTCTTTCGGATATATACAATAATAAAACCTGTCACTTCTTGTTGATTGACATTTGTGTATAGCTACCTGTATATACAAGACAGCTGGACTCTTTTTCAAACACTTTAAATGATAAAGCAGATGTCAGAATTGTTAGTTTTACAATTAAAAGTGGAGATGAGCTTGATTTGTGCTTACGGAGGTTTCTAAGCTTCGACAGTGAAATATATTTCAAGACCAACCTGTGGCAGAAATATCATGCAAATTTTAGACCTTCTCTGCCTGTAAACATCCTGCCATATTTTAATAAAGTAATAAGGAACATCTCTGTGTAATGTCTATGTCTGACTTGCAAAAAGCCATCTATATAAGCAGGTAGATAAGGGAAGCAATGTTATTTATTGAATATGTGGAAAGGACTTTAAAAGGTATGAGAACAAAGGTCCTGCTATGTAAATGTACTGAATTAATACAAGGCTTGAAAAGGCGTTCCTTGTATCTTTAATGCAACCTTAGTTACATATTCAATTTGTGTGCCATGACATCTCCATTTAAATATCTTTTGTTCTGTTGACAATTTAGCGAGGTCCCCATCTCCGCTCTACCCTTGAAAGGCCTTGAGGGTTTTGCACTAGAGGAACTGCACTTAAAGAATAATACCTTCCATTACCAAACCACTCGCCAGTTAATTCCTTTGTGCACTTGAAGAAAGCCTTAGAAAAGAGAGCTTTCAACCTTCCGTCCCTTCGAACAAATTTTACTGGAATACTCTTGTTTAATCATAAACAATAAGGTGAGAGAAATGTTTTGCATCTATGTAGAAACATCTCTCTCTGCCCTATATAACCAACTATATCGGGTTTACTGCCTAAGGGTGTCAATGACACTGCTCCTCCCAAAACCCTAACAAAGTATTTTTAAACGGCAAATGGGTCCACTGAGAGTGCTGTATGGCTGCGAGCACTTAACAGTAACAGGTGTAAAAGCTGTCTTACAACACTAACAGGGAGGAAAGGTTGCAAAGACTTGTACTGTATTGTTTAATGTTTGGAAGCACTTAAATTTATTTCTTTTTTTACAGCATGCAAGAAAATTCATATTTTTAAGATGTTCAAATGTAAAGTAGTCCTCAAGGCAGAGAAAGACGTGCGTGAATGAGTGCAAAGCTAGGTGGAGAGCTGAAAGGCGAGGCGCGCTGCTGGTGTGATGGCGTTGTTTCTCAGTACAGTGAATTCGAAAGGGTCGTTTCGCTCTCTGTGGAGTGCCCGGTAATTTGCTAGATGTACCAATTATTGGTATCTATGGAAACCAAGCATGGTCCCTTTTCTGTTTTTAGCACCTCTTTGTGTGGAGGAAAAGCGGCTGGGGGCAGGAGGAAATGGTGGTGTTTAGAGAGAGGACAAAGTGGCACTCTGATTGTATGTTTATGTCGATGGGTGGGGGCAGAGCTGTGTGAGAACCAGTAAAGCCTAGAAGGTATGAGCAACATATGAAAAGATTTATAGATTTCCTATTAGCAGAGGTACTTAAGGCTTTACGCCACTCACTCTGCCTCTTTAATTTGTACAATCTGAGTCAACTTCGTCCAGGGGTTGTAGGCTGAATCGATGCTGTACAGACGCATGTGCATGGCCAACACGTGAAACAGCTGATCTGAAAGAGGCAAAGACAAAACACACCATTATTATGAGGTTCATCTCTGTGTCTATTGTCACGGCAGTGTTTAACGTAGCTCAAACGATGAAAGCACTTGACTCAGGCTGACTGTAGGCTAATGCTCGGCTCAGATAAAACCAGGCCAGGCCAGATGGACTCACTCTATTTCGATAGCCTTGAGCAAACTCTTCAGTCGGGCTGCACCTGTTCGATGTGAAACTAATGGAACATGAAGACAGACCTCCTGTGCACACAGTTTTGCATGTTTATACGCATGCTTTAATAGCAGGACACCTCAGAGCCTCAACTGTCTTTGTCTGGACTCCTTTCGAGTGCCAAAATGTATGCCGAGACACAAAAAGCAGGGAACTGTCCGACTATTTAGAATTTAGTTATAATGTTTCAAAGTGGAGTACTGGCACAAATTAATCACGCTTTCTTAAATCTAACCTCAACCTCAAAATTAAATTATGCTAGTTCCAATAAACCACCAAGTTTTATATAGTCTCACTGTGAGGTACAGACATATATGCAACATATTTCTGTTTAACATTTCTAATGACCAACATGAATCTTGTTGGATTCTGGCTGACAATGAATTATCACGCTGTAATGCAGCAAAGTGCTTCAAATAATCACCACTGCAAATTTGACTTTTGTGCGTGCCACCTATACTTGGAGCAACACTGCCCCCCACAGGTAAAAAACAGGCACAGCATAAAAAAAGCAAAGAGTCTTTCAGTTCTCAATTGAAAACCATTTGTCTTCACTAGAGCCCATTTCCTCTCATCCCTCACCACCACTCACCTCTTACCAGGAATTAACCCGGCATAGGAAAGAAATGGAGGAAAGATGTCTCCAATAACGATTGTTGTTTCTTATGCTAGATCACAGAAATTAAAATCCCATATACTAATGTAATTAAAACTGCGGTGCTCCATCAGCAAGTCTTCTTGTCTCTCACTCCTAACCCTTTATTCAATCTGATCAACCCTACTCCCCACCTTCATTTTGATTTCCCCCATTTTCCGTGAATGATAATAAGTACTGAGTTTTGGCTTTAAAGCCAGAGTACCCGGAGAGAACCGGGATGCTGAAATGGAAAAGCAGTTAAGGAGATGGGCAGACGGATGGACAGTGGGTAAACCCTTAAAACCAAAGCCAGAAACCAAAGCAGCTAAAATCCAGTCAGACATGAGATTTATTAAACCATAACCACGTTTTGAAAAAGATCTTTAAAACTGTCAGCACAGACTTCCACTGAGGGAATATTGCTGAATACTCACATCTCACTGCACAGTGGTCTTCATGTAAAAAAAAAAAAAAAAAACATCAGCAGCCACACACAATCAAAGAACACAAATATCACCGCTGACACTCACCGTGTACTAGAAGACCAACAACTGAGGTCAGCACGTGTCGCCTTTAATGTCGCTGCACAGTAGGAGCCATGTAGTCCCCAAGATTAATTCAAATGTTTGCAGTTTAATAAACCCAGAACTGATGCCACTTTCAAGCCTGGACTTTGCAGATTTGATTTAGCTCATCTCAGGGGAATTGAAGAGCGCTTGCTTCTGTGGTCAATCGTATCCTCGTCATTTGAAAAGACCAAACGCCTACTGGGAAACAAGCTTAGGAAAACCCCCATGGGCTCTCACAGTTAGCTGACGTCGGCTGTTTTCCCTTTAAATCCATTTCCCTAAGAAGAATGAGCACTAATGTACTGCAACTGAGTAAATTTGGCTGTCAGCATGGCTACATGGTTAATGTAGCTCAAAAATGGCAAACCTCTGGTGTGAAATCTCTTTTCAGCCACTCAGGGATGACAGGCCGTTTCACTGCAGCAGTCGCAACTTTGACAGAACAATTAAACAAATGGAGAATGGCGTGTAGGCTACACGACAACCTTAACTCTCTCCAGACTCACCATTCACACTTCCTATTGCAATAATCCATCCTTTATTCGTTTATATTTTACAACTGATTACATCTGAGATTAATTTATCTTCTAAGAACTGATAATTCAATGCAATGTTCTGATTTTCCTTTGAGATTCAGCTAAGATCACAGTTTTCCTCCTGCCCTAGACATATGCCCTTGTCAGCTGTGACACAATCAACTAAGTCAGCACTTGACCCATTTGTCAGCTTCATTTACCCCGACTGCTCCAACTGCTCACCTGGGACACCATCTATCCTTTCCTGCCATTTCTAATCGACCCTTTGTTGTTGGGTTGTTTTTTTCCCCCCTCAGCAATAGAAGTCAAATCCAAGAATGGGTTTGACTGCAAGTCAGACAATTCATTACATACCAGCTGATGGAGAATAGGATACATCCACCTGTAGTAACACATGTCACTGTAACTGATATTAAACCTAAAAACACATTTCAGAATCGGTTATTGCGCCACCAAAGATTTACATTTTATTCTTTTCCTGCACCAACTTTGTCTTACACTGTAAACACGACATATGAGACAATTTTCCAAAAACTACATTAAGCTCATCAACTGATTTTCGTTAGAGGGGGTTTAAAAGAAAAAAAAGCAAAATGTGTAAAAATAACTGCATTCCTAAACAGTTAATACAACACTCTTCTGAAACTCATTAAGTTAAAGGCGAATGTCTGCACATCAATCGGATTTCTAGTCTGCTTCAACAACTGTTTGATATGATATTGTAGTTTGTATCATGGTTTCTGTGTCAGTTTCAGAAATAAAAGTATATACGTGATCATTACTGGGGAAAATGAACTGTTAACATAGACGTATAGGCTAAATCTGATAATAAAAACGTGATGAAGCATTAAACTACACAAAAAAGTTATGTATACTGTTCCTTGGAATACAGCCATTATCGTTTGTTGTATTGGCCTTGGTTCACCCAGGAGTAGTCTGCTTTCAGTGATAGGGGGTTTTTGCTATCCAGTGTGTGTAATAAAAAAATCCCCTTACCTGAGAACTTTTGGTTAGACTGTGGTTTTAACTTTCATGTCATGCTTTAGAGGAGATTCAACCAGCCTGGGGACCATTTTTGAACATTTTTGAACCCTCAGATCTAACAACTTGTTTGTTGTGACCCATGTCATTTTGGCTTCATTCTATCCTTTTAATTGATTTGTTTTTTAACTTTTTTGATGTTGTGGCCCTTTTTTTTCTGAGAAAACATTTTGTTATAAACACACGTCTTTCTGTATGTTTGATAGGAGACACAGATTGTTAATATTAAAATAAATCAAGATATATTTTTTTGAATTGTTCCTTTGAATTTCATTAAATTGTAATTCTTTTAACATTTAAAAGAGGCAGTAGTATCAAGCCACAAGTGTCACACATGGTATGGAATACAGGATCCAATACAATGACTCAAAAAATGATAAAAATATAAAAAAAGAGCAAGTGAGGGAGAAGCTACTCACTGAGACATGAGCGTTTGGCAGCTGCACTGGCTCCTCCAGAACACAAGTTTCCTCCTCGATGCACAAGTTCCAACTCCAGGTTTGTCCTGAGGTGACAGAGACATGAGCATTAGCAGACAGGAGGTACACATATTAGACAATTCAGCTGGTACACATGTGAAACACACTAGACATGCACAAAAATACATATACATCTCCCCTTGCACATATTCAGGTGAAAGTCTAAGATTCAAAATCTCCTTTTAAACAGAGACTGAACCAAGTTGGCAGCAGACATAAATGTACTATACTGTATACATATACCAGAGCTAAAGCAGATTTCTTTAGTGTTAAGACTCAATTAAACATTATAAAAAGCACCATTTACAAGTTTGCATCAATACGATAGAAGAGGTTTCCAGGCTCGTCTACACAGCTGGCTCTGTTCTTCGAGCAGCAGCATCAACAGCATCATAGCTTACATGGATCATCCATTTAAGAATATTTGACTTTTGACCTAGCAAACTTATTTCACGTGAAATGCATGTTTATTAATAGGTGTTAATACTGCCCAATGGTATAAACTGAGACATTTGCCCCTTAAGAAGAAAAAAAAAAAA